TGGGAGGCTGGCGGGGCCCTGCTGGGCACCCTTGGGCGCTTCTGGCCTCAGATGCACCTTTCTGGGTGGCGTTTCTGGATGTGCTGGTCAGAGCGCAGCTCCCACGGCAGGAGGGCTGGGGGTATGGAGGAGCCTGTTTGGGCTCTTGGGGCGTCTCCAGCTGTCGCAGTTGTTGATAAACCCGAAAGAGCGACCTGAGGCTGGTGTCTGAGTGTCAGAAACAGAAACCAGCTAGGACCAACCCAGCCGGTTGGACTGCCCCCCGCCTCCCATGCCGTGCGCGGAGAGGAAGCTGGTAGCAGCATTCTTCATATCCAAATCATCTTGAGAGCACCAAGTGCAGCAGAGAAGAGGTGGCATCCAGGCTGGAGAGCCCACGGGGCGGACTGCGGCGCTCGCTGCCAAGCGGTCTGCCCGGCCCCCGGCACCTGGGCTCTCCTGGCCGCCGGCGTGGGCAGCGGCAGCCGGCAGGCTCTGGGATCCCCCCTCTGTGTCCCTGCGGGGCTGCAGGCAGCCCGTGACCGAGGCGCTGCGACCAGCAAGGTTCCAGCGGACAGCGGCTTTGTGAGTGTTAACCCTCTTCTCGGGGCCAAGGAGCACTGCCTTGGCGGGGCTGGCGGGGACAGGAGCTCTGGGGCGTGGGGACGGGAGGCTCCCACTGCTCGCGACGGGGACTCTTTCTGGACGAGCACAAGGAGAGGGAGGGACGTGCCCCCCGCTCGGCTGGTGGCAGGGACATGTGTGTGCAGCTGCTCTGTCTGGCGCTGGCCTCGCTCTGAGCCCGAGGAAGGGCTTCCCCAAGGAGCCTGCAGTGAGATGGGGCTGGTGGTTGCCCCACAGGAGTGCTCCGTGGGCTCCGCGCGCTGCCATGGCCAGCCGCAGCGGTACCAGGTACCTCTTATCTCGGCAATGTCTGGAATGCACCGCGCTGGGGCTTTCCCTGCTCCAAGAGCCGAGCGTGCCTGGAGCAGGAGCCCCCGTGCTCGGCCTGCCCAGCCACCTCCTGGAACGAGGCGCCCCTTGCTACCCGTGCCCAGCTACCCCCTGCTGCTCCCCGGTGCCCGGGAATGCCAGGCTGGAGCATCCCTCCATGATTGGCAGGAAAGCAGAGCCTGCTCAGGGGCTCTTGAATGAGTTTGGGATTGTGGCATGTAGCTGGGCTGCACGGCACCACAGCCCAAGGACACTGGAGGGTGCTTGTGGAGGGGACTGGAGGGCAGGAGCTGGCACTGGCAGCCCTGGGTAAGGGCTGGCAATGAACAGTCAGGACTCCAGGCCGCTCACTGGGCTGCCTGGCAGCAAACCCCTTTGCTGAGCGGTCCCGTGGTGCCGGATGAGGCCTCTCTGCACTTGTTCTCGCAGCAATCGTGGCCCTGCAGTGCGGTGCAACCTGGGGGGGAGCCTAGCGGGGGCTGTTGGGCTGGCACAGGAGGATGTGATCCTCTGGGAATCACAGCTCACCACGATGCTCCCCGTCCCAGTGGCCTCAGGCAGGCTGGAAGCATGTCCCACCTTGGCCCCCCAAGCTGCTGGAGTATATGAGAGATCCTGGGCATCATGTTAACTTTCCAGGGAGCTGGGTAGGGGAGGGACACTGCTGTTGCACTGATGTCCTCAGCATCCTTCTGCCCTTGGGATGTCCTCAGCATCCTTAACCGCCACCACTGCCCTCAGCATTTCTTTCTGCTGTGATGCCCTCAGCATCCTGTTCACCTGCGATGCCCTCAGCACCCTGCTCCCCAGGGAATGCTCTCAGCATCTTTCCTGGCAATGCCCTAAGCATCCTTCTCAGCACCGGCTCCTGCCTGAAGGGCCCTTCTCAGAACTTTCTTGTGCCCTCAGCCGGCCTCAGGGGCTGGGCAGGATGGCCTGGGTGGGCTGTGCTCTCCTTATGCTGCTGAGAGTGACCTGGCCCACACATGCCCATCCCACTGCAGCACTGGCAGGCGCTTCCCTATGGATTAGGCACCATAACACCCAGCTGGGGCAGCAAGCCCGGCTCCGTAGGCCTTGCTCGCTCGGCAGGGAGCTGATTAAACAACCCTGCAGAGGGTAATCTGCCCAGGCCCTGCAGGTCAGACAGGCTGCTGGGGATTACAGCTCCTGGTAATGAGCTTAATTGGGACAGTGTTGTCCTGGAAACTGGAGGGGCTGGCACTGAGCTGACTCCCGGGCTCCAGGACCTGCAGCGCCCTTGGATTGCTTGGTCCCAGGCTGGGGGACAGGCGCCAAGGAGAGGGGACGGATGGGGAGC